AAAAGGACCTTTTAAAGAAAATGGCATGTTGGTAATTACTATATCATATTGATTACTGGCTGGATTTTTTAAACTATTAGTTTTTTGAATATTATTGTGACCATCACCAGTTAAAATCATATTCATCTTAGCCACCCGAGCAGTAGAAGTTACTTCATTGCCTCAAACGGTTTTTTCTTTTAAATTATGCCATTTTTTAGCATCATTTTTAGGAATTCTTTCCGCAATATAATTAAAAACTTTGATTAAAATACCGCCGGTGCCACAAAAAGGGTCGTAGATAGTTTCGTGCGGCTTGGGGTCTGCTAATTTTACTAGAAAATTAACGATATGGCGAGGAGTAAAATATTGTCCTAAATCCTTTTTTTGACCTTTAATGGCTTCTTTAAGAAAATATTCAAAAGCCTCACCCTTGACATCTATATCAATGCTAATTAATTGAAGAGGAGTTAATTTATCAATAATTCGTTTTAAAGTAGCAGGACTATTAATTTGGAGTCGCTGGAAAATATCAACTCCGTATTTGCTCTGGAAACAGCAAAATTTATCCTTTTTATGTTGTCTGCAATTTAAAGCATTATTTACATAGTCTAATAAATCTTCTCCTTGTTTATCTTGAAAAGCCTCTCATTGCAGTTTGGGAGGAATAATTTTGCTCTCCGAACGACGTTTATCTTTCCCCTCTTTCCTTTCTTGCTCACTCAAAATTTTTAGAAATAAAATGCTGCAAAATTCACTAAATCTTTCGTGTCCTTCAGTCAATCCATCATCCCTTAATTGATTGTTAGCAAAAGAAAAGACTTTGATTAATTTTTCTCGGTCTCTAATGGCGATAATTTTTCGAGGATTATATTCGTTCTTGTCTATAAAATGTAAAGCGGTTTCTAGATCGAATAAAAAATTAACTTCTTTTTGGTCAAGATATAAAGGTTTGCCAATTTTTAAGTGCCAAGTTTTGATAATTTTCTTTTTTGGGTCGCCAATAACGGCATAAGCAATTGGGGAATTTCTTTTTTTTGCATAATTTTTGGCTTGTTCTAAAGCGTCTTCTAAATTCTGACCCGTTCTTTTAGCCTCAATGGCAATCAAGGGTTCTATTCACCCTTTTGGTTTCAGAACATAGTCAGCAAAGGTTTGAGAAGAATATTCTTCGCCAAAAACATTTTTATTTTTCCCGGTTAGCCGCCATCCTTTACTCTTTAATTCCTCATCTATTTCCATGCGGATGTCAGCTTCAGTTAACTTTGACATAATACTAATTTTTT